ATTTAGCGTTTAGTGTGTTATTACTATACAAAAATAATTTGTTAAGTACTTCCATGTCTTGTGTGGTACCTACATATAAAAACAAGTCAAAACAGTATTCATTTTAAAATAAACAATAACAAAAAATTATCAACTAATTGTTACTTTTTATTTCTTATCCTCATCCACTTAGTATCCACTCACTCAAATATTTTTAAATGACTGTTTCAAAAATTTTCTCTGAGATTAAAATTACATTATAAGATTTTTTTGTATGTATTCATCGGATGTCACATTTACGTAGAAGTTAAAATTCATGACAACATGTTCAAGACAATAGTTGAGAGTATTCACTCTAGGCTGTTAACTTACCTCTTGACACGCAGCTTACTGTGTACGCCAACAGCAATGTTGCTGTTAAATAATTGTTGTGATCACATGAACACAAGGACATTCTAAATATAGACCATACCCCGGACAATCTAAATATAGACCGTATTTATTTAGAGGAATTCTTATGAAAGCAAATACTTAGCTAGATCCCGAGAAATAAACAATTAGATTTATTAATATCTCAAGGAATACAATTAGATTTATTAATATCTCAAGGAATACAATTAGATTTATTAATATCTCAAGGAATTGAGTAGCACTATTGTTAGTGCAGTGCGATGCGTATTGATGTCATGTTTGGTAGCACAAGTTTTATAAAAACAATAATTTTGTATTCACGTGTTTACTAAACTTTAAGATTATTTATATCATTAACATTATTTATATAATTAACGTATACATGAAAAATAATTTGGAATCTAATAATTTTATATTATTTCACATTTGATTTTATTTTTTGGTAACTTGAATCCCGGGCCTTGGCGTGACTTATAGAGGTCCCCTGCCCCCACCCCCCCTCCCTTTTTTCGGTTTTGTGGCACCTGTATTCGAAGTTGATTGTTAATGCTTTAAATAGTTTGTGTGTGTGTTCTAAATATTGCACAAACTGGGCCTTTGACTATTCGTGGCGCCAGCAAGCACAGGGATGGAAAGTCCCAAAATGATGTCTCTTTTAACATTATACCTTTTCATTGCATACTTTGATAGACCTTTGAATCTGACGTTCTGAAATCAAAAGCGTACATCTGATGGCGTTCTGAAATCAAAAGCGTACATCTGATGGCGTTCTGAAATCAAAAGCGTACATCTGATGGCGTTCTGAAATCAAAAGCGTACATCTGATGGCGTTCTGAAATCAAAAGCGTACATCTGATGGCGTTCTGAAATCAAAAGCGTACATCTGAATTTCAATCTGTACGACGGGCAGCCACCAGACAAATGTGTCATGTCGATCTCTAATGATGCAGACGTCACACTGACACTCTCATGGGGGGGGGACGGTACGTCACATTGGGACTCTCATTGGGGAGACGTCACATTGACACTCTCATGGTGGGGGGGGGACGGACGGGACGTCACATTGGGACTCTCATTGGGGAGACGTCACATTGACACTTTGATCGGGGAGACGTCGCATTGACACTTCCATTTGGGAGACGTCCCATTGACACTTTTATTTTGGAGACTCACAATGAGACTCTAATAGGGGAGACGTCGCAATGACACTTTTATTGTGGAGACGTCGCATTGACACTTCCTTTTGGGAGACGTCACATTGACACTTTTATTGTGGAGACGTCGCATTGACACTTTCTTTTGGGAGACGTAACATTGACACTTTTATTGTGGAGACGTCTCAATGAGACTCTAATAAGGGGGAAACGTCGCATTGACACTTTTATTGTGGAGACGTCGCATTGACACTTTTATTGTGGAGACGTCACATTGACACTTTTATTGTGGAGACGTCACATTGACACTTTTATTGTGGAGACGTCTCAATGAGACTCTAATAGGGGAGACGTCGCAATGACACTTTTATTGTGGAGACGTCGTATTGACACTTTTATTGTGGAGACGTCACATTGACACTTTTATTGTGGAGACGTCACATTGACACTTTTATTGTGGAGACGTCTCAATGAGACTCTAATAGGGGAGACGTCGCAATGACACTTTTATAGTGGAGACGTCGAATTGACACTTTTATTGTGGAGACGTCACATTGACACTTTTGTTTGTGGAGACGTCACATTGACACTTTTATTGTGGAGACGTCTCAATGAGACTCTAATAGGGGACACGTCTCAATGACACTTTTATTGTGGAGACGTCGCAATGACACTTTTATTGTGGAGACGTCACATTGACACTTTTATTGTGGAGACGTGGCAATGACACTTCCATTTGGGAGACGTCACATTGAAACTCTTATTGGGGAGACGTCACATTGACACTCTTATTGGGGAGACGTTGCATTAACTCCCTCATTGGTTAGATGTCACACTTTTGTAATTGATACTTTGGTACATTATCTAAAAATAGGGTTTGGAAACACTGTTATATCCAGGGTCGTAATAAGCCACAGCCAACTAGAGGGTTGCATTAACCCATGGTCCCCTGAGCGCTTCGAAAATGTGAACGTTTCAAAAGGGCAGCACTGCCATGGCATGGCTAATTTTGGAATAGCCCCCTGAAGAAGGCTCTTGGCCGAAACGTTCTCTGTTTTATACGTTCTCGTCTTTTTATAGTTCAAGCTTCTACATCACCTTGTTCAACTCTGTCCTTGTTCAACTCTGTCCTTGTTCAACTCTGTCCTTGTTCAACTCTGTCCTTGTTCAACTCTGTCCTTGTTCAACTCTGTCCTTGTTCAACTCTGTCCTTGTTCAACTCTGTCCTTGTTCAACTCTGTCCTTGTTCAACTCTGTCCTTGTTCAACTCTGTCCTTGTTCAACTCTGTCCTTGTTAAACTCTGTCCTTGTTCAACTCTGTCCTTGTTCAACTCTGTCCTTCTTACAGCTTGAACGGAGCTCTTTCTTTATTTTGTTAACATGGAACGGATTTTCATGTCAATCTTACGATGGTATGGGCTTTCGGCAAAGTTTAATACGGTGATTGGTCCTCATTCACGTTTATGGGAACATTCGTTGTCATTCGCTTTGCAAGTCGTTTATAAACAGGAATAAATAAACACGGGCTTTGTTTCATTTATGTATTGGTGGTACAGCTAATGGGTATTGGTATTCCATTATTTACTACGACAGATATAAACTGTTTAAAATTTCCCCCCACAATAAATATGTAAGTTTTCACATTGTACAACTTAAGTTAAACAATATATTTTAAATTTTTTCATTTATGCTCAATTCACACGGTCAAATTTGCGTCCAATTTGTTTTTGAACACACTATCATGTGTTACAATATAGTGAGTTCAAAAAGAACTTTGACGAAAATTTGATGAAAATTTGATCGTGTGAACTGGCCGTAATAGATGCAAATGAGTTTTAATACAATAAAAAAATAAATAAATAAAAACTTTCACAGATATAAACCTCACTTTGTAATTAGACAACACAGAGCATGCAATCGTTTAATCATCACAACATACACACTTTAAAATTGTTGAAAAACTTTGGAAAATATTTTGTCTTTTTTTTTTTACAGACGCGTAAAGTTCATCAGAAATTGATATCCATTAAATGGGTGAAATTGTTCCTTCACAAATGTTAAAGATATACAAAGCTGATGTCTGTCAATGTCTTAGAAACTTGATTTCAGTAGATGTTATATGGTTGTATGTCACATAGTTATATGTCACATGGTTATATGTCACATGATTATATGTCACATGGGTATATGTCTCTTGGTTATATGTCTCATGGTTATGTCACTCATTTTTATAAGTTTTATAGTTAGACGTCTCAGTTGAATGTATCGTGTTTATATATTTCATTGTTAAATGTTTCATGATTATAAGTCTCATGCTAATATGTCTCAAAGTTCAATGTCGCATTGTCGGAGTTCTTATGGGTGTATGTGATATGGACATCTTAAAAAAAAAATGTTCGGATTTCCTGTGAAAAATGGAATTTTGAATGGAAATCAAATGTCCACACATCTGTCCCGGTGTTTATTGAGTCAGTCACAGATCATCGCCAATCTGGTGATTGAAGTGACGCTCATCGAATCAACAGACAATATCAAACAAAACGAGGTAGCTCGAGCTGTACGGCACGGGCACTATGAAAAGCGGCTCATTTTACCACCCCCCCCCCCCCCACCCCCCAACAAACCATCCACACACCACTCTTGTTCATCGTGCGCTCGCTAAAATAAGAAACACATTTTTTATGTGTATGAATTATATCCCTTTTCCCAAAATGTATAAACTAGAAATTGTGCGATGCAGAGAAATAAATAAAGAATGCTTTGTAGGTCAAACTTGTATTCAAATTCCAAAATACACGCGAGATCTTGTATTTGACCACGGTTAATTTACCAAATTCAACCAAGTAAAAAACAACTTGACCCATACAGTTATTAAGGTCCCCCCCCCCCTTTTTTTTTTCCCCACAATTTTACTAAAGCATGTATTATATTAGCCAATTACACACACACACACACAAGTTTTCCAACCCTTATGTTTCTGTGTTGACAACTTCATTCTTACGCGAGATCTTGTATTTGACCAAGGTTAATTTACCAAATTCAACCAAATAAAAAACAACTTGACCCATACAGTTATTAAGGTCCCCCCCCCCCTTTTTTTTTTCCCCACAATGTTACTAAAGCATGTATTATATTAGCCAATTACACACACACACACACAAGTTTTCCAACCCTTATGTTTCTGTGTTGACAACTTCATTCTTTCAAGACATTTAAATACAGTTCATTACCCTCTCAATATTTAGGACTAAAATATATTACCTCACCACATAGACTTTACACAAGAAATACCATGTTTTACTTTCTTCTTAGTATTGGTCGCTGGAGTGGAGCTTGTCTTCCGTGGAAAATATAAAATTTAAATATAATCTAAATTTTCGTAAGAGAGCGTCAAAAATTCAGTCAATGCCATGGGGCATGTCTTTTGCTTGGCACGGCCATGCATCTTGCCAGGACTCGCATGAGCGTCTCCCTGTACCGGGTGCTCATCTTGTAATAAACCACCACATTGACGCTCGTGTTTACCGTCTCGGCCAGGTACGCGATGCTGTAGCACAACATCGCCACGTCGAAGTACGCCCCGTCCACCTTCAGCCCCTGGACCAGCGCCACCGCCGTCAGAATGGTCGACTGCGGGATGAGGCAGACGATGAACACGACGGACACCACCGACAGCATCCGGACGACTTTCCTCTCCTTCTTCGAGACGTCGCTTCCGGAAACCGCTTTGCGCCAGGAGGCTTTGTCGATGAGCTTCACGCTCGTGACGGACGTGCACGCGATGAGGACGAGGAACGTGAAGTAGGGAACGGATAAATCTGTTATGAAATAGGACACCGCGAAGACGCTGCTCGCCGTGCTCCGGAGGGTCACCCCCAGCACCGTTCTGTTCTGCCGGGCCGAAAACTTCCAGTCGAAATACGTGGTGTACATAGCCGGGAACACGTGGAGGATCGTGACGATGAAAATCGTGACGTTGACAACGAGCGCCACGCCTGGCGTGATGATCCTCTTGACCCTCAGGGGCGCCACCACGCACAGGCAGCGCTCGAACGAGGCGAAGGCGGTGATGAACCCACCCACGCGTATGAAGTAACTGTGCGGGTAGAAGGAGATGAGGCGCAGGACTTCGGTGACGTTGAAGGGAAGATGCGCGTTTAAGAACCAAGGGTTGACCATTATATCGAACATCTGCTGTCCGACCAGCGCCCCGATGTTGCTGACGGCCAGGGCCGCGAGCGTGATGTTCACACTGTCCTTGTAGCCTTGCTTGGAGAAGACGATGATGTTGACGACGTTGCCGGCGATGCCGAAGAGACTTAGGATTTCGCTGCAGATGAGAAGGTTGAAGACGAGGAAAAAACCCAGCAGACGGGAGTCGATGAGTCCTGCTGACGTCACGGGGGCAGAGGTCGAGTTCACCCCGAACATGTTGCTTACGGCTTATAGGTTACGTAATTGACATAATAAATACACAATGATTTGATATTTATATCGCGCCGGTATCCTCGCCATTTTAGCTTGCTCACTGCTCACTGCTCACTGCGCTCTGGTCGTCCAAAATTTATTTGAACCAAAAAAAAAGAAATAATGGGGAAAAAGTCACAAAACCCCCTATCTAAAACAGAAAGCCTTTTTTGAGACCGTGTTTGTTAATAGGTAGATTTATCACAAGAAAACAGACGATGGATCAAAACCAACTTTGAACTGTCAGTTCACCTGGATTATTAATGTGTTTTGTCGTAACCACCCTTATACTGAAAGCCTTAACCCTTTCTCTCCGGATCAAAGCTCCCATCGTCGGTTTTAAATGAATTTTTTTTTTTTTTGGATCGAAATATAACTTGTTAAATGCATGGGGTAAAGAGTTAAAATAAAAAAAATCAAATGACTTTGAGTGACGTTCAAGTCTTAGTTATTTTTTAGTGTACATATTATGGATACGCTTCTACTCAGAACGGCGCGCATTCTAACATCTGTGACTGAAAGGGTTTCGATGCGCTAAAAATAATTACCTTTTTTTTTTTTTTTTATTACTTTTTTTTTTTTTTTTTTTTTTTTTTTTTTTTTTTTTTTTTTTTTTTTATTACTTTTTTTTTTTCAAACAGATTTTGATAAGGCGTCGCAAACGAGCGGTTGGAAAAATACGGCACGCGGGGCAAACGTGTCGGCACGCGGGGCAAACGTGTCGGCAGAGACGTTTTTATCGGCACGCTTCAGATAAATACAATAATGACGAATGACCCCAAAAAATGAGTTTTATAAGTTAGGCTTGTGAGAGATTTGGCGTGCCGAGTGAATAAGACATCTCTCTAAAGCTCAATACTACAAAAAGGTTTGTGAACGAGCCCTTGGCGCAGGCAGCATAAAATTTATCGAAGATCCATGGCGTTATTCTATAACACACCGTTGTGGTTGGAAAAAAATGCAATTTCAAGTTTAAATGTAAACTTTTATTTTAAAATCAATAAAAGTGCGTGTGTGTGTGTGGGGGGGGGGGGGGGGAACGAATTATAAATGGATTATTCTTTTTTTTTAACTTCAATTGTTATGTAATTATTTTTTTTAAAGGTTGTCTCTCAAGACCACAGAGACGATTTAATTCGTCAATGCTCATTTGATCACGACAGTATTGATCTCTATTACCAGATCTTCTCAGTTTTTAAACCATCTAAAGGAGTGTTTTTCCCTTATAATTAAGGAGAACAATAATTAAATTTCAAATAATCAATTATTTAGTTAGTTGCAATTTTATTATAGGCACGTGAATGTGTTTAAGTTAAATGAGTGAGATTTGGGGAATCCCCAACTGTCAGTGTTTACCATTATAAACCCAATCATAAAACGAAGGCTTTGCGTTATTTGTTCATCTTTTAATTACTGTTGCTTGAACACATTTTCCCCACTTTTTTTGTTACCACTTTGACATTGGCGAAATTGTTTAGAAGCTGCACCCACGACATTGGCGCTAATTTGCGTAGTTCGATTATGAGACGCAGAATAAATAAAAAATTAAAATAATATTGAGCCAATTTTTATATAAACTTCCCCTTAAGGCCACATTAAACATCGATATAATGATAACACCTAGTTATTTAATTTACCACCTAACCTTCTTAAATCCCCTGCCACACTCCCCCAGATTAAAAATGTGTGACGCCCTAGTTACGCCTACACCTTAAGTTATTATGCAAACCACAACGAATTGTGGTGATTTTGGGGGGGGGGGGAGTATGCCTGGTTGGTAATACCATTGACATTAGAAAATGTTAAAAATTACAGAGTTCAAACATCGAGATAATATGTGGGCGCTTTTGTTCAGGAAGTGATAAAATGTGATTTTGGGGGGGGGGGAGTATGCCTGGTTGGTAATTCCATTGACATTAGGAAATGTTAAAAATTACAGAGTTCAAACATCGAGATAATATGTGGGCGCTTTTGTTCAGGTAGTGATAAAAAAAAACAACAACTCCTGTGTTCATTAATGATCGTTCTGGTTGAGTTATAATGGTAAAATCTATGTATTTATTGTATTGATTGCATCATAATTGCAATTCAAAACACCTACATGAAGTTTACTACGGAGTTTCTTGGAAAAAAACTACAACAAATAATAAAAAAAAAAACTAATTGATTTAACTGTCCCATCCTGTCCAGTGTAATTAGGTCAAGTGTGCAGGAGAACAAAAAATTAAACTAAGCACAACAATTACAGCGCTTCCTTTCACACCCTTCGCTCTAATCAATAGCATTTTACCGCATGTACTCGCAGATAAGCCTACATCGCATATAAGCCTACATCGCATATAAGCCGACCCCCTAAAACTGCTTTAAAATGGCCAGATTTTTGCAAAAACCCGCATATCAGCCGACCATACAATTGTCTAAATTTACTCCATATTTTTGGTTCATAGAAATTTGTTACTGTAAAGATGTAAAATGCTTAGTTTTATGTTACATACCAGTTTGTTTACCTTTTGGAATGACACAAAAACGTGTTCTGCTCTTTCATATCAGCTATGCATACATTGAATTCTTTGAAGTGAGATCTCTGTATATATATATAGTACTCTGTACACACAACCAAATAAAAAGTCAGATAGCGATGAAAATTTGTGGCTGGAAAATTGCCATTAGTGTCTGTCCTTGTGTCCATTTTGTTTTATGCGCATATAAGCCGACCCCCCTGATTTTAGTATTGTATTTTACAGTTCTAAATTCGGCTTATATGCAAGTATACACGGTATTTAATATGGATCTTTGTTGTTGGTCGATTACAAATGAAGATAAAGTAACTGAACTGTTGCCTCAGCCTAGAGTATCTTGATCTCAATGCATGCCAGGTAACAAAAAATGTAGCGCTTAATCAGTGTCAGATTAATCTAAAACAAAACAAAAAAAATGTATTTTGCTTATGAGACCCTGCTTCTTCGAGGGCCCCGCGATGTGGGGACCTTAATTTACCAGGTGGTATCTGCATGTTACAATAAATTTATAAAACGAACTCGATTAATTGTTTAAACTGTATTTACCAACATCAGTGCGTTTGGGGGTGGGGGTGGGTCGGGTGGGAAAGGAGATTTCCACTGCTTAGGTGGGCCCAGGGCCATTTTACAGGCACCAATCAACATTAAAAAAACAACAAAACAACCAAACAACTGTCTTATTAAAAAGATTGTTAGCAAAGCCAAAGCTGTGGAAGTTTAACAATTCAATTAAGATAGAAGGTTCGACAGAAACCAAAATGGACACCTTCAGTTATTTCTTAGATACGGGCTCGTTAAAAAATTCAATTCATTTAAATGTTCAAGTTCATTCAACGAACGTAGCACACTAAAATAGAATGGAATTTGTTATGTTTTTTTCTTTTTGCTACATCAGTTTCGCTACAGCCTATGTAGGGCCCTGGCCTGCTCCACCTCACCCTTCTATTCGGATCGATCCGTGGCTTTCCGCCCCCATGTGCGAACCCCCAACTGGTGTAAATCCTTCTCTAGTATTCTCTACATCGTCGGTCCATCTGAGTCTTGGACGACCGGTGACCCGTCTGCCTCTAGGCTTCCGTCTTTGTTAACCCTCATAGTTTACTATTTTTAAATTACAGCTTTTGAGATTAAATGGATGTTCACCTGACGTACCACGAACCACGTATGGGTGAGAAGGTATGAGCATTCCAAATTTCATTCCGAAACCCTAAATGGTTTTCTTATTATGAAGAAGAACATTAAAATACAAACAAACAACACAAAGTCAAACTAAGCTTTAAAGAGTGAAAGTTTAAATTTAATTATTTATTCAAAAGACTTGAATAAATTGAGCCTTTGTGACATCATTCGTCTGTTACATTTTATCTCAAGCAAGCACTGAAACGCTAGTGAAACGTGCAGAACTTTCAATAGAGCGACTACACACTACACATGCACTTTGCTAGTTCAAGGGGATGACGTTGCTGTCGCTGAGATGAGTGTGTTAAGAACGTAAATTCCCCAAGAGTGATCACCTGTCATGAATTTAAAGCATGTCACATGTCAACGGCTGTGATATGATCACACTCCATTAAGTCACGTACTTCCTCTTCATGTTTTTTTTCTAACCGACGGTTCTCACAAGTTAACTATGCACGAGTCATTAATAAAGAATTTTTTAAAAAAAATTGTGATATCTCATTTATCTATATAATTAATCAGGGGTAATGTTTTTTAAACCTCCATAGTAACTTTGCTTTTGTTCGCTGGTTGGCTGGCAAAATCTTCGGACGACCTATTGACCCACTTCCCGTCAATCTATGAAGCTGAATCGTATCACATAGACTTGTTGCTGACGACAAAACAATCTTTCAAATTTTCATCCCCACTACCAACACCAAACAGCAAAAATTAATTTTTCCTGTTTTTCTAAGGGAAAGATGAAATAAAATGTGCAATAACTGCGCTAATTGAGATTCTTTAAAAAAAAATCAATGAAAAAAATAAATCTGAAATAGTTGGTGAAATAGATCTGCGGTGTCAAAGCGAATGGGTCATTAGCATATTAATAGAGTTTAGGGGCGTGCAAAAATGTTTCTTAATTTGACCAAAGCCCCCGCCCCGTTATTGTAAATAAATTTGGAAGGAGAGTACATTCATACGACATTACCCTTTGAATCATAACTTGAGAACTGCTACCATGCAAGCAGAATTTTAATTTTATATCCGTCCGCGACAACCGGGAAATCCATCGTCGCAAGTGCTTAAAAAATGGCTTTTCTTTTAACGCCTGCTCAGAAAATACTATTTCCAGTTGACGTTGCAACCGAAATTTCAAATCACCAATGAATTACATCCAACTGATTAAGTGTTATATAAGAATACAAGTATGGGGTGACCGGTGAAGCATACGACACAGTCGCAGTGCCGTCTTAAGGCATGGGCACAGTGGGCACTGGCCCAGGA